AATAATAATATAAAAAAATATTATGAAAAATAAAACTTAAAAATTTTTTTTTTCTTTTCTTCTCTTTCCTTTTCTTTTTCCCCTTCCCCTTCCCCTTCCCCTTCCCCTTCCCTTTCTCTTTCCCCTTCGAACCCAAGCATGCTGGGTTCCTTAAGACCCAGCCTTAGGTTCCAAAAAAAAAAAAAAATGAAATTTCTATTTTCTTTGTTTGGCTTTTGTTGTTTGATGATAAGAGAAATTGATTGATGAAGATGAAGAAGGCAAGGCAGCCGTTGGGTTTTTGCAGGTGGATGAAGATGAAGAAGGCAAGGCAGCCGTTGGGTTTTTGCAGGTGGATGAAGATGAAGAAGGCATAGGTGCTGGGTTCGATTTCGAACCTAGCATCAAACCCAGCAGCCACTGGGTTCCTGCGGCCGCTGGGTTCCTGCAGGTGCTGGGTTCGAAGGTGCTGGGTTTGATTTCGAACCCAGCAAGCACTGGGTTTCGTTTCGAACCCAACAACCGTTGGGTCAATGGATCTGTTGAGTTCCATTTGTTTATCGATCTGTTGTATGTTGGGTTCTGTTTCAAACTCAGCAGTTGTTGGGTCGATGGATCTGTTGAGTTTGATCTATTTATGGATTTGTTATCTGTTGTGTTATCCTCATATTCTTGCAGGTGCTGAATTCGATTTCAAACCTACTAAGCATTGGGTTTTGTTTCCAACCCAACTGCAGTTGGATCGAAGGATCTATTGATTTCTATCTATTGGTTTATTGTGTTATTCTTGAATTTAATATTAGGAAATGTTAGGGTTTGCAGAAGGTGAAAGGAAAGAGAGAGGAAGAAGAAAGGGAAAAAAGAAAAACAAAAAAACAAAAACAAAAAAAGAAAAAGAAATTTTTTAAGGTAATTTCTTGCCATCTCATTTTTTTGCCACGTTGTACATCCTAGATGTCAAAATGTTTTAACACGTCATCCTTTTCTCCATCAAGTAACAAGACAAGTAGGCGGATATTTAACGGAAGGACCAAATCGAGGTTAAAATGGTAAACAGTAGAGACCAAATCAGGGATTTTTTTAGTTTAGGGACCAAATTGGGGGTTCGTACAATAGTTCAGGGACCAAAATGAAGTTTTAACCCTTTTTTTTTTAATCTTGAGTTATATAATAGAAAGTAATTTTTTATTATTTTTGAACTCATTCCACTTGCATATCTTATAATTTGAATTGAAAATTTTTTACATTTATGAAAAAAATTATCATGAAATTATTTAGATCATTGATAATTTTAAATGAATACCTACATATAACATTATAAGTGAATTCATAAATTAAAAGAATAATTAAATATAATGATATGGAAAAAATGCATATTAGTCTAGACTCCCAAAATAAATTAGAGTTCTAATATTAAGTTATGTTATTTTATTTAATTAAAACTCAATTCAAAATTTAAAAAACTATGTTATTAAATGTTGATATCTAGATTTAAAAACTAATTATATATATTGATTATATTGAAATATATAATCAGTTTCCAAATCTAGATATCAACATATAATAAAGTCAGATTTTAGTTTCTAAATGTATGTTAGGACTCCAATTATTTTTTAAAATGAGAATTGATACGTACTAACCTCACAATGATATGTTACAATATATAATGACATTATAAATTTTTATTATAATAATATATTATAATTATAAACTTATAATATCATATAAAATTATAACTACATTTTTTTTTTTGGCATAACTTATCGTTGAACCTTCTATTTTGTCAGCATTCTCTTTGCGGCATACGCATTTGCCTTTCTCATATTTCTTCCAAATGCATGGGATAGATCCTTCTTAGGCCTTCTGTCTTATTGATCATCCATTGACCACACATACTATTATAACATGATTAAATTTGTAAGAGATTCTAACAATTACAAAATGATTTGCACGCACAGGGGAAGCACAAAAGATTGATGCGTAGAAGATCTCCACACAACAATTTAAATGGAAAAATCTCAATTAGGAAAAATATTAAGCGCAAAGAATGAGAAATCTACTAAAAAAATTATTGATACATACTTGATTTGACACATATTTAATTTGGCACAATTTTTAACACGTGATTGGTTAATTATTAAAAATATAATATAAATATAATTGATTTAGTCAGTTTTTACATTTTATGTATATAGTTATATCTTTAAATTTATCTACTTTTAATTTAAAAATTAAAACTAATAATTTTTGAATAAATATGTTAAATCAGAGTGTTTCAATCAGTGTCCATTCTACCATTAAGAAAGAGATAAATAATACATCAATTTGAAAGACAATATCTAATTATTAGATGCATGAATGATCTTGTCTATTTCACTTAATTCAAAATTTTTAAAAGGTGATAGTCTCCAATAGTAAAAAAAGAATACAGGGTTATAATGCTAATTAAATTTTTTTTAAAAAATTATGTCCTTATTTATACTAAATCTTGGTTTGGTAGCGTGCATTGTGCAGCTCTCGTTTACCTTAGGTAACAGTTTAGCCCTATCCAGGGACAGAGTAAGCACTCCACAAGGGGGAGCAGTCGTAAAAAAGGAAATAGAAGAGAAAGCAAAACTTTTTTATGATATGATAAATAATTAAAATAAACCAATAATAATAGGGTTAAGGTAAGAAAAATGAAAAAAAAGAAAAATTAATTTAGTGTGAATTTAAAGTTAAAAAATAATAGTTAGTTTGGAATGAAGTGAATAATTACAATATATATTAAATAAAAAAATTTATTTAAGTAGTGATTATTTAAAGACAAAATTTTTTATCAATTAATTATTAAAATTAAATAGAGATAATATTTTCAATTAGAGAAAATTTTAAAATATAGTAAATAAAACAATAGATGGAAAATGTTGAAAATGAAAATATACCTTTTCATAATTAAACTCATTCATTTACTTGGAAGAGACATATTATTTTGAAAGTGTTATTCCCAATAGACAGTTCTATCCGATAAAAAGGCTTTTCTTCATCTTCTTCTAAAAAACACTAATATATGAAAAAAATACATAAACATCCCTAATCTTATCAAAATAAAATAATTCTCTTTTGTGCAATGATTGTACTTTGTAGAAATTCTTATACAAAAGTGATAGTTTGGCCGCTTGCAGAGGTAAGATTCAATGGTTAGTTTCATATACAATTAATAAGGTTTTATTGTATCTCATAGATATTTTCGATAAACCCTTTTAACATATCAAAATACAAAGGACAACAATAATTTTAAATCATATAGTATATATTTTTAAATTAAAATAAAATAAAATAAATATTTTTAAATAATAATAGTAGTTAATTTTATATTAAATTCTATTGAAAATTTTTGAAATTTTATTTTTAAGGATTGGTTTTTTTAATTGAGGTAAAATTATTCATGACTTAAAAGTTTTGTCGCAAATAAATTAGTGATGATACTTTCTATCATATTAAAGGAGTTTGTTTTTTGATACAAAATATAAATGTTACAAAAATATTACTTGTATCTAATCATTTCAACACAAATAAATTTAATTGGGACGCATAAAATTATCACAAAAAGGTAATAATTATGTTTATTTTTTACATCATTAAAAACATTTGTGATAATTAAAA